TTACAGGGACTGCTGTACATATTTGATGAGAAACTGTCTCCACAACAGACCTCAAAATGAGATGCTAGAGCTTTTATATGCGGTGGGATGGAATTGTTCTTCATCCAAAATCCCGTATTTTCAAACAGTGATCAAGCTAAGGATACACAGACACACACGCATTTATTTGCTAGTGAAGATTGCAGATGGTCCAGGATTAGTGGGAAACAAAATAATAGAGATCTGAACCTCTTGATTTACATGGTGACAGTCCAAAAAATAAGGTGTTTCAGATTCATTGGAGTGCTGGGGTTTGTATCTAGAAAGGACAAAGAGAGAGGAAGAAAATATAAGGCTTAAAAACGAAGGATCATGCCTTGGGAAGGAGAACTGAAGATGATAGAGGTGCCTGGGGTGAAATACAGATAGAAAGTCAGTGTTGAAGTTCAAACTGTTACAGCAGCTGCTGGGAGCAATGGAACCTAGTGGGATGGAACCCCGTTGGGGCACCCATGTTGTGCCACTTGGAAGGTTCACCCTCTCCCATGGACTTGGGAGGCCACAACATGGCTGAAGTTCAGTTGTTTCCAAAAGCTGGTGGAGGATGGAGGGTGAGACCCTTGGTGACGCAGAGTGGTCAGCTTTTCTTGGAGGAGCAGGCTAGGAAACAGTTCCTTCTCTAATAACACAGCAAATGTCTTGGAATGGAACATGGGTGGTAAGATTTTTTTTTTTTTCTGGCTGAACATGGGAGAGATTTAAAAATAGCCCTTAGGAATTAAAAAATGAAAAGATAACCCTAACTCATCTGACTCAGTTCATGTTCTGTAAAAACAATACTGTGTTCTGACAAGCAATTCAGAGTTTGTAGTGTTTATCTAAAATATTAAATTGGAGGAATGAGTAATCACCTCTAAAAGACTTAATAACTCTTTGTGCCTTCCTCCATATGCTTGTGTTTGAGTCGTGACAACAAGGAGGATACAACATGTATTTGTGGGAAATATAAAGCCTGTGCACTCAGGGAACGTGTGGTTCCTCTGCAGATGTTACTGTTTCCTCTGGCATCTTAAACACTGCTTACAAAGGCTTACTCTCCCTTCAGGATGTGACCTCTCTGCCTTTTGTCTTGAGTCAGACAAACGGTGACAAAGGCATCCCAGCAGCATTAATTTACTCTAATTACTGCATTGGGGTGTGCAGCTTCTTCAGCATATTTATGAAAATTCAATGCATTCCATAAATGACCTTGGTGGGCTTATTTTCATGTGAACAATGAGGAAAACCTGAGATGCACGAGTCGTTCCCACACAAAGTGAACTGAAAGAAATCACCCACATCCAGGTTTTTCTCTGAGTTAGGGATTCTTGCTTGTCTCCTGTAGTGATACTGATTTGGGAAGTGGGTCATGGGTGCATGTCACACTTTGAAACAAGATGAAAAACTCAGTTTTGCACCTTACTTGCTTCTTAGCATCTTCTGTGTCCCAGTGCCAGACCCAGTCTGAGCCCAAATTTCTCTTCATTCTGCTTGATGCCTATCGCCTTAATTTACCATCTCTTTCATACCTCCTGCAAAGAAAGGGTGAAATACCTGGGTTTCCTCTACAGTTCCTTAGTAAAACATTGAGACCCATTACCAACAGATACAGGAGACAGTGGGGTGGGAAGGGAAGATAAATTTGAAGGCTTTCTGAATGGCTTGTTTTTAATCAGTGCTTCATAGGTATGATTTATCTGGGCCGGGTTTCGGTCTCAGAAATTCATTCAAGCTCATAATTATCTTGGCAGATGTGAAAAGGCATATTCATAGACCCTCAAACCCATTAGAGCCTCACACTTTTCTAAAAGGAAGAAAAAGCCCTTCAGCTTTACTTTCTGAGAAGCAGAATAGCTTTCTGTTTCTTGACAGCTCTTGAAATCTGTCCCCTTTCCACTGCCTGTCTTTAGTTCCCAAGGGAGAAATGAATGCAGGTCCACTGGGACAGAAAGGGAAAGAATAAAAAAATCAGCCTATTTTCATCCTTCTGCAGCAGGCATTCTTTATGAGGACAAGCAAGTGGAAAGGCAAGTCAGGGTCTATGAAATGGAGTCAGGGTTATACCAGAAGATTCTCTTGTGCCTACAATGGAGTCACTTGGGGGACCTGCTGTGGGTGCAACAGCACCCACAGTCTTCTTTGGTCTCCATTGATTTCCTTGGATTTTGGCCTGCTCAGACAAGCCTAGGGAAAGGTCTCAGCTCTCCTGTTTCAGAATACTTGCTCCTGGCTAAGCTGGATCTGTCAGGAGATGCCAGCAAATGGAGCCCCCCCACACTGCTGTCCTGTGCCTTGCAATGGGGACAGAACAGCTTTTCCTCCTGCATAAGTACAAGGTGAGAGGGATCAGGCTCGGGAGATCTTTGGTGTTTGAAATTGTAAGTCAGCTGGCCTGAGAACCTGGTGAGAGATGTGGTTGTTTTGGAGCCTCACATTTTGTCTTCAAGGTGGGTGCAGACCCACCTCCCTGCTCTCCTCCATCTCCCTTTGCTGCCTACATCTCTTAGGGGTTTCTTGGGGTTGTCTCTCATTCTGCAGAGGTGATGTCTGTCTGATTGAAGGATTGGCCTCAGCTAGTCAGGGAAACATCAGGGAAATCTCCATGTGGGTGAGTAGGAATGTCTGTAAGAATGTGATGAGACGTGGTCAGAGGATAGAAGAGAAAAAGAAGAGAAGAAAAGCAACTTCCACTGTTCACATATTCACTAATTTTTCAGAATGCAGTAGCAGGGATGCTACATATGGGATCTGGGGCTGTGCTGGTGGGCTTAGGACAATCCAGCTCAGGTACAAGGTAGTCACAGTCCTATGGATTTGGGGAATCCTCCTCAGAAAACTGGTTTACAATGCAGTTCCTTAGGTCTGCTTTTTAAATCTGATTTTTGCACAGTGAATGTCATTAAAAAGCAGGGGAAGGAGTAGGGAAATAAATTTTTTGAAATATCATGATGTTTGTTTCAAGGCCCACTAGATTTATCTTAGTGGTTTGGCCACCAAACACTTAATTCTGCCTGCCACAGCAGCTATCCAAGCCTGTTTCTCATGTCAAATTTCTCAGCTGTCAGGCGTGCATTTTAAAAGGTTATTTGTAGGGAGAGGCAATCCAGAGAGACCAGCCGGAGCACTCGGCCTGTCACTCAAGGTTTGCGGTGCCACCACACTGACAGGAATCATTTTGACAGAAAATTGCATATAAATTGAATCATTTCAAAATTAAGAAAAGGAGATGAAAGCAAACACTTCCGAAATGCGGTGCCACTGACAAGTTGTGATGCACAGGGTTCAGCCTCTGGAGCCCTGCAGATCCTCCCCTGGCACTCGCTCTGTCTTCGGGCAGGCCATCTTTGTGCCAAGGCCAATAGTAGGTTATTGCTAATTTCTGCATATTGCTAATTGCATTAGAAGTATTAGGTTATTATCTGCCCCCAGGGAACAGGCCTCAAGGGAAGGGTTTTGGGATGTTCAACGCTGCAGTGTCCAGGACAGGTGGGGGTCAATGAGGCTGATGGTGGCAGTAAGGAGGGGATGCAGGGCTTGGTTTCTCCGCCACTTCCTCATGCCCGAGGATGGCATGGGGTGGGGTGTGCTGAAGCCAAAAGCAGGCACACTGCTTTGGTGTGTAACCTTCAAACCACGTCTTTTCTTAGCTATTGTTTTGAGTAGCAGTGGAAGGGATAGGGAGATGTACCATATTAAAATAAGATGCACTCAGTAAACCAAGAGGGCATGAAGGCCCTGGGGCACTGGGACTGGCACAAGAGCACTGAGTTGGCATAATTGTTTACACCCACCAAGTTGCACCACCTTGTGAAATATCACTGTGGACTGTGCACAGACAGTGAGCTAGAATGGGGCTCAGGGACACAGGAGCCTCCTCTTGGGTCTGCCAGTAACCTCCCGTGCTGCCTTGGTCAAGTGACTTGGCCCAGCTCCCCTCAGCCTCATCCTCTTGTCTTTTTAGACCACCATATCTTCATTATAGCTCACAACAGCCTGTACTGTGGCTTTATCAGATTTTTTAAAAACACAAATATCAGTAAAGAATGATGCTGATCAATCTGGTTTGTTTTATGGTTTCCTGGAGGAGGTGGTTGCACATGTCAGGGAGCTGGAAAGCCCCCACACCTGAGACAGAGGGTCTCCTCCTGTCCCCAGGCAGGGCTGGTTGGGGCTAAGCTGGTGAGGGGCTGGAGCAGTTGGCAGTGTCACCTGCCATGGTGAGGCCCAGAGCTGGAAGGGGAACGTTATATGAAAAAGAAATGCTTTGCAGCCTGGCAGCTGCCTGTGTCTCCTGCCTGGCCATGGAGGGCTCTTGAAACACCCTGCTTTCCAAAGCAATGCCTCCAGAGCCTGTTCTCCCAGTGGCCTGAGGAAATGGTACCTAGGATTCACCCTCCACCGGGTGCTGGGTCGAGGAGCTGCACTGGGCATGGCAGGGCTCAGCAAGCTGCAGTCTGCACTGCTGCTGTGGTGAGAGTCCTCTTCCCCTGTGCCCCTCTCTTGGCTGCCTGCAGGCACTGTGCGCTCAGAAGAACAAATGCCTGAGCACCCTAAAAATAGTTTTATTGCATTAATGCCTTTTAGGCAGATAAGAAATCTTCCCCCAGGTCTGTGTCCACTCCAGGCACTGATGTGGCACAGCTTTTTGCTGGACCATTACTGAAAGGCAAAGAAATGCTAAAAAAGACCTGCAAAGAGCATTTCCTTGGGCACTCATGTGTAGACCTCTGGTTTGCTTTCCTGGCTCTGGGGGCTCTGTAGCCCGTGGGGCTCTAGTTGGCTGGCACTGGGGTCACTGTGAACAAACGGGTTTGGGAGGAGCACGAGTGTCTTCATCTCCTTCTGGCTCAAATTTGCCCTTGGTATTGAAAAAAAAAAAAAAAAAAGCCGGCAAAAAAGCAGCAGGAAGGGCTTTTATTGTGAAAAAGAGACTTTTCAAATGCCTGTTCCCCCTTCCCAGCCTCTCCACTCCCCTCCCCACAGGGAGGTGGGTCTGGGATGAAGCAGAGTTTGAAAACTCACAGCTGAAGTTTGAAGGGTGTCCTCCCGCCCAGGGGGAAGCGGGGGCGTGTGGTGCCAGGAGCCCGGGAGCCCCTGCCATGCGGGGCTGGGCAGCAGGGACTGTGGGCAGCCCGAGGGGCACCCCTGGGTGACAGCCCCCGGCTGTGAGTGATGGCCTGGGGGGAGGAAGCGGGCTGATTAGTAGCTGGATTTTTTTTTTTTTTACCTGCTATTTAAAAAAAAAAAAAAATTGTATGTTCTGTGTGGGCTCCCGGTGTCGTATGGAAGTGCCACAGGCGGCGGCACCCGAGTCAGGAGGTGACCGTGTGCCGTGTCGCCCAGAGGCGGTGAAGCATATGAGGAGCGCATCGGCTGCTGCTGCTGCGAGACATGGTAGGATTTAGGGTTTCCTTGCTGGGCTGATGGTGGGAAGCAACGCTGGGTTTGTCCCATGGGATGTGAGGTACAATGGCGTGTCCTGGATGTCTCTTGTGCCGGACCACTCGGAGGGTCAGAGCCGGGTGAGGCAGGCGAGGCAGGGAACTGCTACAGCACTTCTCTGTCCTTAAAAGCATTAGGATGGGCCGAGCAGATTGTGAGAATTCGCTAGGGATGCGCAGAGCAGATTGTCAGGATGCCCCTGAGGGCAGTGCCTGGGGCTGCTGTGGTTAAAGCGCTGCTGTCAGCCAGGGAGGTGATTGCACCCCCTCGGCCAGTGCCACCTCTTTTCAGTGGCCAGGTGGCCCTGCCTCAGGCAGGCGTGCCAAGTGCAGATAGACATCATGACTGAGCCACTCTGTGCTTTCTCTTTGGTCCTGACAAAGCACAGCACTTTCACCAAAAAGCCACAAAATCGGCCAATTTGGCAAGGGAGAACTTCACGTCCCTCCCAAGAAATGTTGTTCTTCCCCAGCATCAGAAGGTTTATCCGCATCTGTAGTGTGCTTCAAACCTTACGGTGGTGTTTCATGTCATCTAGTTTTAGTGCTCCGGTTTGGAACATCCCTTGGCAAACCCATCTGAGGAAGCATGTGCCAGCTGAGCTGGGATGATCCCCCCATGCCCCATTACCCCTGGCCCACCAGGGGACAGGGGTGTGTCATGCCAGGGAGTTTGCACTGAGGCGGGGGGCTCTGTTCCTGCTTCACCACCTCAGCCCTTGCCAAGCTTCTGTTTGGGCAGGGATTGCAAACCTATGATGGATGAGCTGAGGAGATGCTTGGTGATGCTGCCAAAAACTGGTAATTTGTGTCACTGAAACATTTTTATGTCCTCAAGAGTGTGCTGATGACTCCAAGCATCTCTGGGGACAACGTTGCTGTGCCAGCCTTCACTGGAGTGTGTGTGTTTGTGTACAGGGAACACTAGTGTCATGCTTTACGCTTTCCATCCTACGTTTGCATAGGCTGCTTTGGGTTTCTTAACTAATGAACTTCAGCAGCAGGAAAAAAATACAAGACTGGGGCTTATGTCACCCATATTGGGTTTGGAGATAACACCTCCCTGTCAAAGGGAAAAGCAAGGCAACTCTCCCCATACCAGCCTTTAGTCTGCAGTAACATTTTTCTGTACAAGCCTTCACTATGAAGCCTTTCAAAGCCAGGTACATGCTGTGGTCCCCCATGTGAGAATGGGGTATTCACTTTTTGCCAGGGTTTTAATTTTGTCTTGAAAAAGGAAGGTCTGCTTCTGCAGTTCTTTCCCTTTTGTGAGCTCCTGTGTTGATTGCTTTGTTTTTGCCTATAATCTGCTCTGGGCAGGGCAGGGGTGGTCATGAGGAATAAATCCAGGCAGGCTATGCCCCCAGTTGATCATCTTGTTGCTTCATTTGTAGCAAAACCCCAAACAAAATGCTCGAGATGATTTTTGACTCCTTTCAAAATCACCGGGAGGGTGCCCCCTCGCAGAAAGGCAGAGGGATGCCAGCTGTGAGATCCCGTGTTGGTATGGAGAGCACGCTTGCAGCCGGCTTCTTGTTGGATCCGGCCACCACTCATGCCCGACCTGCCTCAGCAGAGAGTGCTGGGGATGACTGCATTACAGAAGCATCTTCTTTCTTCTGGCTTCAAAATTCACCAGAGAGTAGTTTCCAGTTGCTGTTGTTTGCCTCTGAATGTGAGGGGCTGATTATACTGTGTTAATTCTCTGGCATAGATTCCAAATGCCTCAATTACCCCTTCTTTTCCAATGCTCAGTAAGTCCAGTCCACCTGCAGCTACTTGCCTTTCCCTGAAGGAAAAGCCCCTCTTCTGTGAGCCTGGCTGCACCAATGCTCGTACCACGTTTGCTCTGCTCACCCCATGGATTTTGCTAGGTGAGGAAGCAGGCTGGGGGGTGGCTGCCAGCAGGCTTTGCCCAGGATGGGGTCTGCGGGACGCAGGCAGCACTCAGAGCCAAGCAAGCAGTTTTCTTCCCCTTTTTTTCTCTTTTAGATGTAATGGCTTGAAAGGAGGAAAAGAGGGTTGCCTTTCTGCAGCTGAGGCTGGGGCTGGTATGAACAATTCTGTTTTGAAGAAAGCCCACAGGGCTGAAAGGCCCTGCTGTCCTCCTCCTTCTCACTCCCCTTTGGAATCCCACGAATGCACTTTTCTGCTCTCCAGAAAGGCAAAAACCTGACAGACAGCTCAGGGAAACCCAACTGTCTGACTTGGGCAACCTCCACTGAAACTCCAGCAAGGGAATCCAGTGCTACTCCTTGCTAACACCCCAGAGAGGCTTTTGTGAGCCCCCACTGGGCACCAAGCAAACATTTCTGTTCCCTGGTGCTGGTCTACCAGTTAGAAAAGAAAACTGAAAATAAGGAGATAAAAATCCCTCTTCCCCAAAATATATAAAAAACATGACACCTGATGAAATAAATAAAACCAAACCAAGTGCCAAAATGTGTGAGAGTTTTAGCAGCATTCCAGGCATTCACAAGCAGGATTGGCAAACTCATCATGAGCAGGAGGAAATAAAATGTGATTTTATTGTAATGTATTCCTCCCCATATTAAATACAGCCCAGACCACATTGCAAGAGGAACATGGCTTTCCAGCACCTCTGCTCTTTGCCTCTGTTATGTGTAGAGAAGCTGCAGCAGCACAGCCCCTCTGGGGATGCCAAACCAGGGCTGGTGAGCAGCCCAGAGGTGCAGCAAGAGAAGCTACCAGGGTGAGGGGAGTTGTGAGGAAGAGGGTCCATGACTCCCAGATTCCAGTTCTTACATCCCTGGGTCTGGACATCCCAAATGAGTCAGCTCCTAAGCTATGGTCTGTGGCTGGAACCCACTGAGGAGCAGGACTTTCAGTTCCAAAATGCTGCAGTAACAAGGCATATTCTTCTTCCCCAGAAGTAACTCGGGGTTGGAGGCAGTCTGTGTGTGGGACTTGAAGGGAAGGAGTCCAGCCCGCGGGCCACAGGCTGCTGCCCTCCTCCAAAGCATCCCCTGTAGAACCCCTCAGAAACAAAGGCAAGACTGTTCAAAATGAGCGGGGCATGAGGCGCAGATGTTGCACAAAGGCAAGCCACATCTGTTTCACTGGGGAAGGGGCCCCCTGCTTGCTGGTTCAGCAAGCAGATGGGAAAGCTGCTCTGAAAACTTATGGAGCTGAGTGTAACAGGCTGGCCGGTAAACTGGGACGAGGGGAGGGGGAAAAGGGAAGCCTGGCAGGAGCCTGCACAGCAGTGGTGAAGGGAGGGAGCAACAGCCTCCCAAAACTGCTGCTTTCCTTCCTTGATGACTCTGCCAGGAATTTCTAGGTTGTGCTGCTCTCATGGAAGTGTGAGGGTTAGGAGAATGAGCAGAGGGATAGGTGGGAAGATGAGGAGGAGGACATCCCTTGTCCCCTGAGGATAGTAGGACAGTCATGCATTCAGGGCTGCCCAGGTCCTCACTGTCCCCTGTGAACATGAAATGCTGCTTCAGGTCCCCAGCGATCTGGATTATTTGGGTGCAGGTTGATATCACCTCTAGCAGTGAAAAGTAAGGTAAATATTTGCACATCCAAATTACAACAGACCTGTGCATCTCAGTCATGTGTTCTGAAAGACTTCCATCAATCTCCTGGGAAATGTGTCTCCAAGAAGTAGAAGATCCAGCTAAGAGCAAGAGTCTGCAGTAAAAGCCCTGACTCTGAACTTAAATAGGAGAAAGATAAGGCATCTGAAAGCTATTAGTTTGCTTACTTTAAGCAGAAGTGTGGCATCCTGGAGAGTATTTATTTTTGTGGTGCTTTGTGTTGACTTCTGGGATTAAACCAGAGTGGTCCTTAGCTGCACTGTACATAGCACCAGGATGAAAAACTCTCTGTCCATTCCACACAAAGCTGAGTATTAACTGTCTGCAAGCTGAGATTTACACAGTGGAAGTAAGGAGAATTATGAATTTTTCTTTTTGCTCAGAGAAAATCACATGATTTTGGGGTAAGGATGGTGTCCCCACAGGGCAAGCAAGTCCCTGGCAGTACCCTGCAGGGCTTTAGTCCACACCAGGTGCAGGACAAGGTGTGTGTCCCCTCTGGGCCCCCCCAAGCAGGAGCCCTGACCTTGAGTGCATCAGCTGCACCCCATGGTGTGGTGTCCTCCAGCCAGGTGCTGGACATCTGTTTCCTTCAAGGTGTGTCCTCTGTCTCCTGCCCCAGGTCTTCCTTCTTCAGAGCAGGACATTTGAACAGGACATTTGGATTGCTGGGAGTCTTGCCACTCTTGTAAGCTACTCCTGGAGATGGCAAAAAGTTTACAAACCTGTGTTTCTGCTGTACTTCTTTGGTGCCTAACTCAGCTGGGAGCAGACAGTGCAATGGGAATAGCACTGTTAAACAGAGCAGTTTGCAGCTATGGCTGAAGATTTTGTTTAAAATGGTCCTTTGGATGATGGATGTGTGAGAAGGAGCTGTGCTTAGCCTATGGCAGAGAAGAACCTTTAGGGCAAGGAGCCTCCCAAAAACTGGAAATAGTCACTCAGGGTGGGAGGTTTAGAGCAAGAAAGAGGACGTTTCATCCCTGTGAAGCAAAAAGCTCAAGGGGCTGATGCAGGGCCTGGAGCCAAGGACATGCCAGGTTATTACTAGAGAGAGGCTGTGGAGCTTGAAGGTTTCCAGGTTTTTGTAATTTGCTGCCCCAAGGCCATAGTGATAACTGGGAACTGTGAAGGCAACATTATTTGAGAAGTTAAAGGTGGTGTGTTGGCACCATCACTTTGAAGTCAGTGCTCAGACTGAACAGGGCCAACACTGTTTGATCCATTTGTGCTGCTGCCAGAGTGCTGCCCACTGCCAGTGCAAAGCATGCTTGTCTTGCACTTAGGCTATAAATGATCCCAGAAACGTTGCAGACTATCCAAAATTTAGCAAAGTACAGCATGCTTTAAGGTTTAATCCCAGGCAATTTAACTCGGTCATTTTCTGGTTTGG